GGGGTAGGGATTTGGAAGGACCCGAATCTCCTGTCTAAAGCCCAGCGCTAGACCCTGAATAGGTGGAGCACCAAGCTGGCTGGCGTGGTGGTAGCACTGGGTGGCCTTGCAGGGAGGGCTCTAGGGGGATGTGAGTTAGAGGCTCAGACGCTAGCCTAGCCGGGAGCTCTTTTTCCCTCAGAAGGCTCTTCTTGTCATGATCCCTAGGACTCTGTGTTTGACCAATACATGGATGTTGATTACTTTTTGCAGCTCTTAGAGTTCTCTCTATGTGACAGCTCGGAGTGGGGACTGTTGTCTAAGGGTGTGACTGTGGGGTATGGCTTTGTATTTGGTGCAGCGTGTGTCTGTTTGTGGATTCTTATGTCCCCTTAGATGTGATAGTGGTTGCACTTGTCTCCCTGTGGACCCTGGGTCATCTCACACCTCCACCTGTGCCGTTCCAGGCCTGTTTGCCCTAAGACTCACTCCTTGCCCTTCCCTGCTCTGCTCTGAGCTGGCAGGAGATTGGAAAGAGGGAGGAGGGGAGAAACCAGGGTGTTTATCTTCCTCCCTCTTTGCCTTTGGCAGTGTCTCCCATAGAAGTTGTATCTCCCTGTGACTCCAATCTGCACCAGACAGGCCCCTGGTCTCTGAGAATCCCACCACCTCCTTTAGCCTAGATGTGCTTGCAGCTTCTTGGTGTTGCTAACTTGGGTTACTTCCCTAGGTCTTCGTTGTGCATTAAATCCCTTTTTTTAAATACCCAGAGTGGCTTCTGTTTTCCTGGTTGGACTGGACCAACTGATATTTATAATAAATTACCCTTGCTCACCCATGTCACCTTTTCTCCCTGGGCAAATTGGGAAAGAAAATACTATATTAGCCAGCTGACACTTTCTGCAAATACTGGCACTGAGAGTGTCACCTCCAAGAGGGGAGGGATTTGTCACTCTTGTTCACTGTTGCTGTCCTGGCACCTAGCTCAGTGTCTGGCTTCTAATGGGTAGTCAACAAATATTTGTTGAACAGATGAGTATATCCTTATGCTATGTGACATTATAAAAGCAACCCTTGGTCAAAGATAAAGTAAAATGGCAACAAGTTGAGCCTTCAGAGCAATGGCTGTGGCAGGAAGAGGCACCTGGTTCATCTTTCTCCCACCTTGCCCCCCAGGTGGCTTCCCATCCCCCTCCCTCCTCGAACAGGGATCAGGGATCAGCCCATGAAAACACTTCCCATTACAGACGGGAAGCGTTGGCACAGGGCGCCTCTAGCATCATCAGGAGTAGCTCTTGGAGTGCCCCCAAAGGCAGGGCGTGGGGTGGAAGTTGGTTACAGGCAAATTGGCTCCTTCCTCTGCTCCACTAGCCAGTTGAGGGAGGAGAGGGAATGGTGGAGTATCACTGCGGTCTGGAAAATTGCCTGCAAATACAGTTCCAGCTAGGCGAGGCCTGTGTAGTGACGGGTAGGATGGGGAGGAAGAGGACGAGGAGGCAGCATCTGAGAGGGGTGGTAGCTAAGGGTGCACTGAGATAGAACAGGCCAGCTAGCACTGCTAAGTGTGCTGGATGGAATGGCCAGGGGAGGTGGCTCAGGGAGGGCTTTAGGGGCAGGGCCGCCAGGAACCTAGTTGGAAAACCATTCCAATGACCTTGGAAGAGGTAATATCTGATTCCAAGGTCTGCCTGCTCCCTACCTTCTCTCTCCAGATCATCCCCCAGGGCAGAGGTGTAACCAATTATTTTCTGGAGGTGGAGAGATCTTTGCTTGTATTCTGGGCCTTTGAATCCTACCCTAATAATTTGTCCTTCTGTCTCTGCCAACTGGACAGCCAACCAGCTCCCTGGACATTCGGATGTGCTCCTCAAAGAAACAGGACAAAGTGAAGAAGAGGGTTGTCTGGGGCATCGAGGTGGCTGAGGAGCTGCTGTGGAAAGGCTGGGAGCTAGGGAAGGAGATCACCAAGAACCTGGTTCTGAAAAATCTATCCTTGAAAACCCAGAAGATGAAGTACAGGTACAAGTATGAGGGGTCAGAGACCCAGCCCCTGAGCCCTCAAGCCCTCAAAGCAGGCACTCTTTAAAAAAATTTTTTTAATGACATATAAATTCAGAAGAGTATAAAATGTGCCATTTGAAGAATTCTTAAAAGTGGAACCCATGCGACCGGATAAAATAATGGAATAACAGTGTCCAAAGCTCACCTTCTCCCACTCTCTGTCTCTCCCCTTTTGGACGCCTTCCCTACCCAGAAAGGGCTACAACAAGAATCGTAAGACGAGGGAGGCAGGTGCTCCTGAGACAGAGCCCCCAGGTTTCCCCCTTTATGGTCTCAAGGACTCAAGCCCACTTGTCTTTCCAGGGTCTTCCATGATCACTCTGCTCTGACCCTGAAGTGCTTGTCTTCTGGTTCTCTCCTGCAGGCCCCCCAAGACCAAGTTCTTCTTCACGGTCATTCCTCAGCCCATCCTCCTGAGCCCGGGCATAACCCTTACGCTTCCCATCATCTTCAGGCCTCTGGAGGAGGTAAGGCCCACCATGGTGAGCAGAGGGCAGTGAGGGACACATGCACAGTGACCTTTGAACTGACAGAGCAACAAGGAGCACCCCCCACACACACACACCATGAGCACAATCCTATCAACTGTAGCAAAACTCCAGCTTAGGAAGCCCTGGAGAAGCTCAGACCCTAACTCATTAGACAGAGAGGGTTTCCAGTTAGATGTTGGCTGTGCTACTATATAGGTCATCAGAAAGCCCTAGATTCCTTGCCCTCTTCCTGCTCTCAAAATGTTCCCCCTAAATACTTTGTTCCCCACAAAAGAGGCCCCATATTTCTGAGACCAAGACAGTGGTAGAGCACAGGTATCTGACCCTCTCCTCAGAGACTGAGATGGAGGACCACAGCCTAGCCCCCACCTCGGTGGTTGTGTTGGGGGGATGGCCAAGGGCTGGGGTGGGATGTATGGTCCCTGAGTACCACCCAGGTCAGGGTCTGCCTCTTCCCCCCACCCCCACACTGCAGAAGGAGTACACGGACCAGCTGTGGTTTGAGAAAGCAGAGGGGACGTTCTGTGTGAACCTGAGGGCCACCCTGCCTTGCCACAATCTGATCTGCCCACCATCCCTGCAGTTGCCCATGTGTGCCGTGGGGGACACGGTTGAGGCCTGGTTCTGCCTGGACAATGTAGGGTGAGGGGAGGGGCTGAGCTCAGAGGTGGGGAGAGCAAGAACTGTGAAGAGGGCATCTGGGTGAAGAGACCGGGTGTCTGGTGGGGAAAGGGGGGGGGGAGTGAAGAGCGCTGCCCAGCGTCTCTCCCTTTTTAAAGCAGGGCAGTGAGCAGAATGAGCCCAGTGGCTCTGACTTGTTCCACCCTCCAGGGACCTGCCCACCTTCTTCACCTGGGAGTTCTCAAGCCCATTCCAGATGCTGCCCACCGTGGGGCTGCTGGAGCCAGGTCAGGCTTGCCGGGTCAAGGTGACCTTCCAGCCTCTTATGGCTGTCATCCATGAAGTTCATGCCACGTGCTGGTACGGGGAGGGCAGCAAGCAGAAGAGCAGCATCCAGCTGCAGGCCACAGGTGAGGCTCAGCCTCTCACCTGTCCCCAGAGCCCGCCTGCTGCACCTCCCTGTGCCTTACAGCCTCAGTGCGTCCCCCTACCCCACCCTCTGCCCTGGCCTAGCCCCATGGGACCTCAACCAGCTTCCTGCCCTCCCCCCAGCCCTGGTTTTGCCTTTTCTTTGCCTTCCTCGCTGTCATAAGCCAATGTTTCCCTGGGAACACCTTCCTTCTTCAAGGGGCTGTTCGGCTGGGGCCACAGAGGCCCTGGTGGATTTTTCCCCAAGTGCCACCCCATCTCTGCCATAGCCAAATGTGCCCAGCTGCTGGTGAACATAAAGCAGAAGCAACCAGAGGACCAGGATGTCGAGGGCTTCCAGAAAGTGCTGCACTTTGGCTCTGTAGCTGTGGGCTGCACTGCCGAGAGGCAAATCAGGCTGTATAATCCCTTGGTGGTATGCATCATGTGCATGGGGGGAGGGGGGGTGGAGGCAGGACTTGGGACCACAGGGCTGGATGCTCCTGAAACCCATCCCCTCTACAGAATGTCGCCCTTTCTCTCTACACCTTTGGCTCCAAGCCTCACATAACCTGTGTCTATTGGTACACATATGTGTCAACAGGTATCCCGCTCTCCTCTCAGCTGGGAGCTGGGCTGGGCTATCCCCTAATTCTCCAGTTCAATCCCAAGAGCAGCCCCAGCACTTTCCTGACCCCAGGTCCACAGCTAGCCTTTATGGTACCTGTGGCGGGGGAAGTACACCTCTGGTCAGTCCCAGTACAGGGCACACGGCCTGGCCCCTTTCTTACTCCTGGTGGAGGTAGCGTTGCCATGCCTGAAGCTGACAACTAAGGCACAGGCTGGAAGCCAGCTGCCCTTACCCCCATGGCTAGGCACCTTGGTAATGACAGACTGCCCCACCCTGTGACCTGACCTCTCCTGTCCTCACATGGCCCCACAGGTGAGTGCCCCCTTCAGGATTGAAGTGTCCCTAGATATGCTGCCCAAAGACCAGGCCTTCTCATGCCCCACGGCCTATGGCGTCGTGCCCCCAGGAGAGAAGAAAGATGTGTCGGTATTTTTCCACCCCAAGACCTTGGACGTCAGAACTATGGACTACTTGTCTGTTTTGCCCTCTGGCTGTGTGTCTCCAACCCTGCTCAAAGTCGTTGGTTTCTGTAGAGGTACTGGCAACCCTAAGGTGCTGCACTTTTCTAGGGACAGGAGCAGCCCCTGCTTAGGATTGGGAAATGCTCCTCGCCAGCTAAGAGCCAGGTGGCTCCTTGCCCTTCAGCCTCAGTGTCTGCTGCCCCCTGGTGGGCTCAGTGAGGAATCAGTTGAAGAAACCTGGAGGTCAGGTGCCTGCCCTCACTCCTGGTGACCTGAAGGTCTGCTCAAGCTGCTGGGACTCCCAGTATTTCCAGCCTGGCCTTCCAGCTCCAGGCAGCACCACCTCCCATCAGCGGGACCCTTTCTGAGACACCCTTGGGGAGGCTGATACTCCAGCCCCACCCAGGTGGCAGAGCCCACTCACAGGGACCCCATGTCCTCTGCCCAGGTCCCGATGTGTCCCTGCAGCACTACTGCATCAATTTCAGCTGGATCAACCTTGGAGAGCACTCAGAGCAGCTCCTGTGGATTGAGAACAAATCAGACTGCACGGCCCACTTCCAGTTTGCCATTGACTGCCAGGAGAGCGTCTTCAGCATCAGGCCGACCTTTGGAACCCTGGCGGGCAAGGGCCGCATGACCCTGCTCTGTGCCTTCCAGCCCACTCACCCCATCATCTACTTTCGGCGGGTGGCCTGTCTCATCCACCACCAGGTGAGCTGTGGGGAAGGGGCTGAGGAGGGACCGATCTAAGGCCCAAAGATAAAGACAGTGCTTGCTCACCTCTGTATTCTGGAGCTTCTGAGGCTATCTGCTTGGATCATCTCCTTCAGGGCCTCAGCCCGGCTTTTGGAGCCCAGCGTGGCCGGAGACACACAAAGTTCACTCTGAACCACATGGGCGTGTCCACTCTATCCTGACTGCTCCAGGCCAGGGCCTTTTCTGCTGCTGTTGCTAGGGAGAGGGGGGATTGCACCTCACCCCACACAGCAGGGCCAAGAGCCTTAAAGTGAGCACCCCAATCCATACCCTGGGCAAGCTCATTCAAAAACTGTGCCCTGACCAACTGGTGCCTGGCCAAGGTAGTGAGAGGGGCCGAAATCTAGCCTCACATGGACAAATGTCACAGGACCCATTGTTCCTGGACCTGATCGGGACCTGCCACTCGGATACCACCAAGCCAGCCATCCTGAGGCCTCAGCACCTTACCTGGTACCGCACACACCTGGCGCGGGGCCTGACGCTCTACCCCCCTGACATCCTGGGCCTTATGCTGAGCGAGGAGAAGCTGGAGCGGGATAAGAACGGGGCCCTCATGATTCCCACGGAGGTGTGGTGGACCGCACGGGGCCCGGGGGCAGGCTATCCTCCCAGGTTCACGCCCCCTTCTCTAGCAATTCTTGGGCAGTCCTGTGCCCCCAGAGTGCGGTGGGGGTGACCTGTGCAGAGCTCTTGTAGCTTTTTGCAGGAAGAAGCATACAGATGAGGGGCGTGCAGGAGGAATGCAGCTGCCTCCACCCACCCACCTCTCCCACCAGGACCTGGACGACGCGCCAGCCCCGCAGTACCCCTTCGTCCCCCCCATGGCTGAGTACTTCTTTGATGGCACCAGGGACTTGGCCATCTTCCCCCCGCCCATCAGCATGGAGCCTCTCGAGGTGGATTTTGGTGCCTGCCCCAGAACTGAGGATCCCAACCCTGTCCCACTGTGCCTGGTGAACCACACCAAGGGCAAGATCACTGTGGTCTGGACACACAGGTCTAACTGCCCCTTCTGGGTGACCCCAGAAACCTGCGATGTGCCCCCGCTCAAGTCCACGGCCCTGCGCCTACACTTCCACCCGCCTCACCCAAACGGGCTCTACGCCGTGGAGCTGGAAGCCTTCGCTGTCTATAAGGTGTGTGCGGGCAGGTAGGCCGCGAAGGCGGGTTCTCTGGCCCCGAGCCTGAATGGCGGAATGGGGGGGGGGGCTTTTAGCACAGCTTTCCTTGGCCAGGAGACTCAGAACACAGGCTGACCCCAGCCCAGCCTTGGTCTCAGGCACCCAGCACTCCCTCCCCAGCTCCAGTCGGCCCTGCCCTTTCCCTCCCTCTCAGCGCTGCCTCCCCTGCTTGCTTTCCCAGTGGCCTGGGTGCTGGGGCCGAGAGAAGAGTTAAGCAGTGCAGTTAAGATTAGAGTCCCTTGCCACCATGTAACCTTAGGCAAGTCCCTTAATGTCCCTGAGCCCTGGTCTTTTCATCTATAAACTTGTGGCCATATCCAAACTTCCGAGAAGGCTTTTTAAAGCTGAGTCTTTAACGGCCTCCATTCTGATATCTTGGCAGTGGAATGTGGAGGTCCGTAGGAAGGAGGCTATGGACACCTGCCTTGGCTGAGGCTGAGTGCTTCAGAGTTTTAGGCTCCTTGCCTAGCCCCGCACTGTCCTACACAGCAGCCACCAACCACAGGTGGCCACCAAGCACTTGGAATGTGGCCAGTCCAAGTTGAGATGTGCTGTAAGGCTAGAAGACACTCTGGATTTCAAAGACTTAGCATGAAATGAATGTAAAATATCTCGCAAATCACATATATCAGTTAGTTAGATGCTGAAATAAGATTTTAGGCTTCTTGAGTTAAATAAAACATATAATTGAAATTAATTTCATGTGTTTCACTTTATTAATGTGGCTACTAGAACCTTTCAAATCACCTCTGTGGCTCGCATTTGTGGCCCTCATTCTATTTCTATTGACCAGCACTTACCTAGGCACATTTCTCCAGGATGTCTTAGGGCTGGTATGAGGATTGAAGAGCGTTTGCGGAGTGCTCAGTGTGGGGAGCCAGGCGCACAGAGAGAGGGACTGTTATGACTTCTCTTCACTGTCTTCCCAGGGAGCCCCTCCCTCTGTACACAATGTAGAAATCCTGCAGTGCAGGGGGGCCAGCTGGGGTGCTGCACAGGGTTGGACACAGGACTCTGAGCTTGTCCATGAATCCGCCCCTCCCCCTACCCCCTCTCAGGTCCTGCAGAGCTTCAGTAACATTGAGGAGGACTGCACCGTGTGCCCCTCCTGGTGTCTGACGCTCCGTGTGAGAGGCCATAGCTACAGTGCTGCCCTGGAGCACCACACCCCCCAGTATTCCCTGGATGCCCCCAAGGTGAGCATGGCTCCAGCAGCAGTGGGAGGTGAACAGGGGAGCTTCGCTTCTGCTGTGGCCTGGAGATCCCTGTCCCCTCTCTGATGGTCTGAGAAACACATCCCAACACCCTCCCTGGCTGCCCCAAAGTCCCTACCACCAACCCCTGGGGCTCTGGCCCATTTGAGGACTCTCTCCTAGGCCATAGCCCTGGAACTGGGGAGAGTCTGGGGCTTGGACAGCTGGTTGCTGCCTGTTCCATCTGAAATGTTCCCCCGTCCTCTCACACTCAGGTTTAAAACTCTCCAGTTCCTTCATTTGTCTGTGTCCCATTTACTGAACATCTGTCAGGGGTAGGTCCACCACACCATGAGTCCCTGCTCCTGGGGACCACCCAGGCCTGCGTGGGTCACAGAGCCAGCCCCTTGGCTTAGCCCCTTCCTCAGGGAGTCATAATCCCCAGGCCTTTCCTGTCCAAGCAGCAGGATGACATAGGACTTGAAAGCACAAATCCTGGAGCCAGAGAGCCAGGTCACCAAGTCCCAATTCTGGTTTCTCCTTCAAGGCTGTTGCCGGTCTTTCCATACACCCTCACCACCCTCAAACTGCTGGCGAATGAGCTGGGGCTGCTGCTGCTCCTCCCACCAACTACACTTCCCGGAGCTCTCCCAGACTGCCTAGGGTTTCCCTTGGCCAGCTCCTTCCAGCGGCGTGTGGCCTTTACTGCCACCCAGCACATTCTGGGCCTGTGTTGCTCCTGTGCTGCCTCACGCAGCGCACTTGTTGACCAGCTGGATGGGGCACCCTGGTCAGCAACCTTGGGCCTTGTCTTTTGTAGCCTACTCAGCTCTTAGCCTGGTGCTGACTACACCCTAGATGCTTAAGGAGTCTTTGGAAGCTGAGATTGCTGGGGATTTCACTTTCTCAAAGTGGGTTCCCCTCGGCTACCTACATCTAGAAGGAGCTGCTTACCCCAGAGCTTCTGGACCAGGATCTCTAAAAGCGGATTCTCCAAACAATGGATTGAGGGCACCCTAAAATGAAAGAGCTCCTCAACCTTGAGGATGGGTCTTGGAGGCCTGCCTTTCTTCAGCCCGGTTCCCATGGTCACTCTGTCTCCCTGTCCAGAGGCCTCTGAAGGACAGAATTTTTTGGTGCCAAGCTGTGGCCTCCCTCCATTCCCTGCTCCCAGGGCAATGATTGGGATGTGTGGAGGCATCTTGGATTTTCTTGGAGACAGCCTACCCAAGCCCACATGTACTTCCCTGAGCGTGTGCTTCAGGGGTGAGAAGGCATGGAGATCTGAGTGTGGGTCCCTCTTCTCTCGCACCCCAGCTATTTCCTGCAGTGTCTCCCAGCGAACCCTCCTACCGAAGCCTGCTCCTGACCAACCGAGGTTCCATGCTGCTGACCTTCAACCTGGCCCCCAAAAGCAGCTCAGACATCTCCCTGCTGCCCAGCTCGGGCCTCGTGGCCCCTGGAGCCCACCAGATCTTCCTCATCTGCACCTACCCCAAGGGCAACTCCTGGAAGCAGCACATTTTTTACTTGCAGTTCAATTTCTGCCCCCAGTATCTCAAGGTAGGAGTCAGGGGTAGCGGGGCTGGGTCCTTGGTAGTGAGCCCTAGTCTGGGGGGGGGTCCCTTTTCAAAGCCACATTTTGGGGTTGACCTCTAAAGCTCACTTAAAGTAGCCAATGTGCTGCTACTCCTCCAGAAAGTGGCATGGCTGGGAGACAACCTCCCTGCCATGTCTCTCACCCTCAGGGCCCTGCCTGCCCACCTCATGGGGTCTGGGACAAGAAAAGGGGTTCAGAGGTCTCACAGGAAGGAGCGGGGGCAACACAGGACTCATGTCTGCAGGTGTTAGAGAGGTGTTTGCGACCAGGCCAGGGAAAGGGTCCAGGATGGTGGACCCATGTCTGGCCCTCGAAATGGTCTGTACATCGTCTGTCAGTCCCTGAGCTCTTTCCAAGAACCATCTCTTAGGTCATTCCCAGCTCACTCTGCCTTTCATAGAAGCTGCCCATGCCCAGGCTGGCAGAGGGCCCTTTGCTGCCCTCCCCAAGGGGGAAAAGCTGCCCATCCATGGCTTCCTGCACATTCAGGAATCTAGGGCTGCGGGGTGAGGTCAGGGTACTGCCCGCCTTCCTCTGGCCCCAGGAGGTGACCATGCAGAGCCGGGAGGAGCCGCTGCAGCTGAAGATGGACACCTCCAAAAGCATCTACTTCAAGCCCACCCAGGTGGGCTCCTCCTCCACCAGCCTCTTCACCTTCCGCAACCCCTCGCGTCTACCCCTGGAGTTTGAATGGAGGGTCTCCCAGCAGTACAGGATGATGCTGGCTGTCCAGCCGGCCAGAGGGCTTATCCAACCCAACGAGAGCCTTGTGAGTTCCCTACCCCACTGCTCAGGGCCGGAGGGAAGGGTACCCGCCATCCTCACTCCCACCAGCATCTCTTACTCTGCCTATCAGGGGCCAGGCTTACTATGTGTGCCTCCCACCCAATCCATAGTCACCTCCCCCAGTATTATGAGTAGGTGTGATCGTTACCATTATCATCACTTCCCATTAAAAAAAAAAAGAAAGAACTAAGACTTAGAGAAAAGAAATCCATTGACTAAGGTTATAAATTAGGAGGTGCCCAGCTGGGGCTTGAACCAGGTTTCTGATGCCACTGCCCAGGGGTGAGTCCACCCTCCATCCATGGTTCCCAAAACTCTCAGATCACTGGGAGGTGGTTTGGGGCAGCTGGATTTGGGGCCAAATGGTGGCTATCATTAGGAGTGAGGAAGGAAACTCCAGAGTTCCCAGTGGCTGTCTGGAGTGAGGCACAGGCTGTGACCCAAACTAGCAGATCTCCATCCTGGTCTAGGGCCTTATAGACTGATTGGGGGGCCAAACAGGCCACAAACCACCAACACTTAGTAGGGGCAGTAATGGGCGAAGTTAGAGACACACAGACTCTGGAGTCAGCCTTCAGAGTTCACATCCAGCTCATGTGCCCTCGCCAGCTGTGTGACCTTCGGCAGGTTACCCCCATCCCTGAGTCTGCAGCTTCTCATCAGAAAATGAGGCACTAAAATAATACCACTTCCCTGGTGGGGACAAAGGATTGAGAGGCTTTTGGAAAAAAATATAAATACAATTTGTGTAAGGTAACCTGAAGTGCGCAAGGTAAACACTCAGAAAGGGTTACCATAGCTTGATATCCTGCAATGGGACCTCAGACAGCCAGGAGCCTAGGTGGGGAAGGGGGGGTCCCATAGACGCCACACAGGGAGAATCTCTGTGACCACAGACACTGACGTGGATCTTCAGCCCTCTGGAGGAGACCAAGTACCTGTTCCGAGTAGGGGTGTGGGTCTGGGAAGCCAACCTGCCCCTAAACACCAAGCCCTTCACCACCACCCCCTACATGATCCGGCTGGTGGGCATGGGCATCACCAGCACCCTCTCTGTGAGTGGGAGAATCTGATGGGTTGGGGTGGGTGCTGGAGGCCAGGGCACCCCAGGGGACCTGACTTAGAGAGGGCAGGGGATGGGAACCCTTTGGCCTGCACCTCTGGACCTACCCTTCCTTGGGGATTCTCTAAGGCCAGGGGTGAAAAAGCCAGGGCCGTGGGCCTGGGGGAGCCCCTCACCCTGGCTGGCTGACTATGACCCTCAGGCAAAGGAGAAGGAGCTGGACTTTGGGAATGTGGTGGTGAACAGCCAACAGTCCAGGTTGCTGGTGCTCCTGAACGAAGGCAACTGCACCCTTGACTATCGCCTGTTCCTGGAGCAGTGCAGCCCTGAGGGTGTCAACACCAACCCCATCGGTACTGGGCCTGGGCTGGGCCTGGGGCCAGGGAAGCGGGCACTGGCTAAGACTGGTTAATCAGACCACGGTTTGTGGGCAGACAGAGCAGAGCTTAAAACATGGTGCTTCTACTTTCTAGATATGTGGCATTGGGTTGGTCCTCTCTGAGCCTCAGCTTCCTCATCTGTAAAATGGGGCTGCTGGCAGCGCCTACCTCACAGCTGCTAGGTGGAGCAAAGTGTTTAGCTGGTACCAATGACACAAAAACAGGTCCCCTCTATCTTGGTTTGGGAGGAGGAACTCTGCTCCCCACTTTCTGGCTCAGAGCCTACTCTGTAGTTAGTGCTCTGCCAGCCCCAGGGAGGACATCTGGAAAGATGCGAGAGATGCAGGGCCTCGCTTGTCAGCACTGAGGGCTTCTCTGCCCTTGACCCCACTGGGTCATCTTTGAGCAGCCCTTCAGCTGGACCGCACAGAGGGGAGCATGCCACCCCGGTCCCAGGACACCATCTGCCTGACCGCCTGTCCCAACCACCCGTCCCAGTACTCCTGGACCATCAGCTACTCTCTCCTCTCACACAGAGGTACCTGGGCCACCTGACATGGGGCCACCTGAAAGAAGTGGGGAGAGCTGTGTGAGCAGGGCCTGGGCGGGGGATGCGGAGGGTCCAGGCAGAGCTGGCGGGATGAGTGTGAGTGTGCGAGGAACCTTTGGATGGCTGGTGTGTGGGCCTGATACCAACCGCCTCTGTCTGTGTGGGTGTCTGTGTATGGGATGCCTGAGCTGTGGAGGGCGCCAAGGGAAGAGTTGGGAGCTGTGCTGAGTGACTGTGGGCTCTCAGACAAACCCTCAGCAGCCCTGGCCTCAGCTTCCTCCCCAGCGGAATGGGGTTCATAGCCCTCCCGGGGCCACGGGGCGGTGTCAGGGCAGCACAGAAGAGTGGCTCAGAGTGCGGACCCGAGCCAGGCTGCCCGGGGCTGGATCCTGACCCTGTACTTATTAGCTATATAATCTTAGCAGGTTGTTTAACCTCCCCATGCCTCAGTTTCCACATCTGTAGAATGGGGATAATAACCATGCACAGGTAAGAAAAAGGAAAGAAGGACTGATGTGGGTTACCACATAAAGAACCTTGAAAACATTAGGCCGAGTGAAAGAATCCAGTCACAGAAAGCCACGCAGTGTGCGATCCCATGGCTGTGAAACATCCAGAATGGGCAAACTGGTAGAAACAGAAAGTAGGCTAGGGGCTACAGGGGGCAAGGAGGATGGGGAGTGACAGCTACTTGGTACTGGGTTTCTTTCGGGGGTGACAAAAATGTTCTAAAATTAAATAACGATGATGGTTGCACAACTGTGAATGTGAGAGAAAACACTGAATTGTATGCGTTAAAGGGTTAATTTTATGGCATATAAATTTTGTTCAATAAAGGTGTTAATAATATGGTGCACGTTAAATACAGTGGTGTGTGTGAAGCACTTAGGACTGTGCCTGGTGTGTGAGAGTGTCACACAAGGGCTGGCTGTTGTTGGAAATGTCCCACAGCCTGGTTGCCCAGGGCTCCTGCAGGCCCCACCCCAGGGGAGCCGGGAGGGGAGCCTGCTCCTCCCACCCACATCCCTTTCCCCCAGATAACAAGGTTGGGGAGAAGCAGGAGCTGTGTCGCGTCTTCTTGGTGGCCGTGTTCCCCTTACTCTCCATCCTGAACATCTGCTCCATGGGCAGCGCTGAGGGCATCACCCGGAGACACCTGTGGCACCTCTTCTCCCTGGACTTGCTCAACAGTTACTTGGAGCGCGACCCCACCCCCCAGGAGCTCACCTACAAGGTGCCCACCCGGCACAGGTGAGCCAAGCCTGGGAGAGGGTCAGGGCCTGTCGGGGATGTTCTTGGAGCTTTCTGTCCACACCCTCAGCACCAGGCCCTGTGCAAGAAGTGGCTCCCTAGCTCCCCCCAAATTCTTACCCATCCCTGGAGGGACCTGGAAAAGGCAGGGATTGGCTGGACACCTGAAGTGCTAACCCACCCTGCCTGAGTCCCAGGGTCCCTAATTCCCACCTGTAGGGAGATGAGTGCCAGCCCCCTGGGAGGGCCCCAACCTGTTCCTACCCCTGCCTCTGAGCCCCATTTCTCTGCTCCACACAGCATAAGTCAGATCCCCCCTGTCTTCACCCCTCTGAAGCTCGACTTCAATTTTGGGGCAGCGCCAATAGAGGCCCCACCTTCTGTGGTGCTCCTGGCCCTGAAGAACACCGGAGTGGTGCCCCTGGACTGGTACAGCTGGCTTGGAGGGATGGCTGGGAGGCAGGTGCTGGAGCCCTTCACTTGCAGCGGGTACCCCAGTGATGGGCTGCAGAGGCCAGGGTGGGACTGGGGTTGCCCAGCAGGATGCAGGACCTGTCACTGGCTGACATGTCAATAGGCTCAGAAGTGGTGGAATCACCAGCTGGAGACGGGCACCATCGTCTCAATATTTAATGAACGAGAAGCGTCCACTGAGCATCTGCTATGTGCCAGGTTCTGTGCTTTACAGGCCTTTGTTCTTCACACCTCGCCAACCGTGTGGAAAGTCCCCTTCTGCTGACTTTCACAAGTGGGAGGCTGAGGGCTCAGCAAAGCCAGTTTTGAAGCCAGATTTGTCCAACTCCAGAGCCCCTGCCTACACTGCTTAGTAGCAAAGCTTTGAACTGCTCTTGTGTACCAGGCACTGTGCTGGGCACTGGGGCACCCCCGACAGAGCCCTAGTCCAGTGGGGACGGGGCCTGCGTGGGTCTCATGGTGGGGTGGGGTCGGGGAGAAGGACAGGGATCTGCTGCCCCGGTGTGTCAGGGAGGAAGGCGTGACTGAGTGGAACCGCGTGGGGCTGGCTGCGAGGCAGACTGCACTTCTCCAGTCACCTGGGGCCCAGGCCTGGAGACCTGAGCCCGCCACGCTTGGCCCTTCCTGTGCTTGGCTTTCCTCCCACCGGGCCCCGAGCTTGCGCCCAGTAAACATCCCGTTTCCATGCCAGGGCTTTTCTTGTTCTTCCTCCCTGTCTCTGCCACGCGCCTTGGTTTCCTAGTAAACTTCCTTTTGATGACTTCCAGCTTTCCCTGGCTAAATGGAGGTGAGAGAGAAGTGTCCCATCTGGGTCAGGCTGGCCAGAGAGAGCCAGGAGTCTAGCCTGGGTGTGGCAGTGGGTGGATGGGATGGAAAACATGCAGGCGGGGGCATCTGGGATCTCAGGAACCTTTCTGCCTGAGCAGAGAGAGTTAGGGGGTGGGAGCTGCATCATGGGGGGGGGTGATGGCTACCCCTTACTCTGGATTATCCTGCCCCTTCCTGTGGTGGGGGCTGCTGAGGAAGCTGGCTACTTAGGCGGCTCCTGCCTGACAAGGGCAGGGGCTATGAGTAGCTGAGGCCTCCAGCCCTGAGTGAGTGGGGAAGCTTGGCAGGCAAGGCTGCTGGCCGATGGGGAAGGCCCAGGGCCCGCTTTAAGCTCCGGACCCGCCATTCACTGGCTCTTTGAGTGGCCAGGAGCCAGGTTCTACTGGGCTCGGGGTGGGGGCAGGAAAAGTGGTGCTGGCCTGTGTCCTGGTGTGGAGCAGGGTATTTTGGTGGATTGTGTGTGCATGTGTGTTTGTGTAGGAGCAAGCCAGCTCACAGTCTCTGTGGAGAGGGTCCAGGTAGCTGGAAACCGAGGCAAGAGGAAAGCCAGGCAGAGTGCCTACCGAGCGGGGCCCATTCATCAGGAGAGCATTTGAGGTTCAGGAAGGCAGGCTGTGCTCCTTCCAGGATTCCAAGCACAGGGAACCTTCCTTGGATGGCTTGCCTCTCCCAGGTTTTTTGTGTGTTGTATTTCCTTTCCCTTCCTTAGAAGGCTATTTTTGAAAATTCTAGCTGGTCTCTGCTGAGCTTATAAAGAACAAACTGAAGGTTTTAGTCCTGCCAAGACCAGCAAGGAACGGGGAGTGTGGACTTGGCCTGGAGGCAGCGGCAGCAGGCAGGACAGATGGAGTGAGAACCCCAAGGATGCGCAGAGCGCGGGAAAAGAGGGGAGTCGAGCCTTCCCCTCTGACGCCTCTGCCCAGGGCCAGTGAGATGAGGGGCTTTGTATTTAAGGGGAGATTCCTTACAGGGACCTGTTAACAGCAATTGTTCCCTCATGGGAACTCATTAAGTCATCGACTAAATCTTCACTGGGGCTTCCTAGGTGCAGGGTCCAGGCTGGCCCTCAGAATAGAAATGCAGCCAAGCCCAGGCCCTGCCCTCTAGGTGCTGAGGGCTCTCTGGACAGACAAGCCTACTGGTGCAGGGTGACGTGTGCTGTGAGAGATCTGTGGAGGCCACTTCACTCAGTTTTGGACATGGGGAGGGGGCACATCAGAAAGGCTTCCTGGAGAAAGCCACAACTAAGCTAGGCCTGCAGCCTTGGGAGAAGAGGCAGGGAGGCTATACAGAACCTTCCAACAGAGCACCTGGCCTGTGCGTGGGTAAGAGGAAAGGGCACAACGTGACTGAAGTGTTGATGGGGAGGGACGGGCAGGCCTCGGGTGCAGCTGGGGGATCCAGCAGGGCCGAGGTCTAGGCCTTAGAATCTTTGTCCTCCTGAGAGTTTGGACTTCTTCCCGAGGGCATCAATGGGATGACGGGCTGGGATGAAAGGCAAAGATACCATATACTTTCCTGTCACTACAGTCTGGGTTGTGGAGAGAGAAACAGATCAGCAGCCTGAGGCAGGGGGACATCACTCTGCACCAGTAGGCTTGTCTGCCCAGAGAGCCCTCAGCACCTGGAGGGCAGGGCCTGGGCTTGGCTGCAGTCCCCAGATGGGGGGCCCACGCTAGAGGGTTGGCAGGGAAAAGGGGCTGGGGATTACTGAGAGGGAGACTGGGTGAGGACAGTGAGGGAAACAGAGGTGTTGAAACTATCCAAATGACCCCAAAATAGCAAGATCTCCACTGATCAATATCCCCAGATAAAATGACAAAAGCATTTTATTCACCTGTAACAAGTCAACCAATACCAGGTGATGGAAGAAAAGTAAGAACTTCCCCAGCTTCCCCTCCAAGTCCACCCTGCTGGGGTGACCAGAGCTTCCTCTCTCGGCACTTGTACAACATACAGACCCAGTGACAATTACAGGGCTATTTTGTTTTTCTTTCTTTCTTTTTTTTTTTTACAGTAATGGCACAATACTTTATATATTATATTACTTTCTGCTCAGCATTATATCAATAACATTCCCTTTAGATAAATACAGATCAATACATAAATCTAACTCATTCTTTTTTTTTAAATTTTATTTTTGTTTAAAATATTACAGATGTCCCTTTTTCTCCCCAATGACCCGTTCCACCGCGTCCCTTCCCCCTCCTCAGCCCCTCCCCCCACCATTGTCCATGTCCTTGGGTTGTGCATATAAATTCTTTGGTTACTCTCCCCCCCTCCACCCACCCGCCCTCCTCCATCCCTCTGACATTCGTCAGTCTCATCTATGCTTCCATGTCATTGAATCTATTCTGCTCATCAGTTTATTAAGTTCTTTAGATTCCACGTATA